TCTAACTGCTTTAGTAGTATCGATCTGTCCATCTGCTCACCAAGTCTGGCATCATCCTTGGAATGGAAAACTATGCCTGAACATCTGTACTCCGACCATGTGCCAATAAATATAACTTTTGCTTCAAAATGTCCAGAAAGAACATTCCATACAACCTGGAACATCAAGAAAGCCAATTGGGATACTTACAAAAATAATATTGGTGAACTCCTTTTAAAGGATAACATACACGACTCGGTTGCAGTCTATAACATCTGCCATAGTTAGTGCAGCGAACCTCAGTATTCCCAAAAAAAGTGGTAACATCAAAAATGTGCAAGTGCCATGGTGGAACGATAAGATTGGAAAAGCAGTCAAAGAAAAAAATAAGGCCTTAAGAGAATTCAAACGCAACTTCTCTACTAACAACTTAATTGAATTCAAGAAAAGAAGAGCGGAAGCTCGTCGCATAATTTTAAAAGTAAAAAATCATCATGGCAAGAATACGTGTCACATATATCTAAAGAAACACCACCATCGGAAGTCTGGCACAAAATCAGAAGTATTCAAGGAAAGCATTTCCAAGCTCCATCCCCTATACTGCTAGTCAACAATATAGAAATTACAAACTATGAAGACATTTGTAATATATTAGCTACACAATTCCAAGAGACAAGCAGTTCGGATAGCTATAATCTTGCCTTCGTAGCTAAAAAGACTAAGGCTGAAAAAAATATATTGGAAATAGTTGATGACTCGTTATTGGTATACAACGTACCTTTTACATTGCTAGAACTGCAAACGCTCTTAACGAGGTTAATTCTTCATCAACTGGTTCAGACAACATCCACTACGACATGCTTAAGCATCTTCCTGAAAGCGAACAGCTTACACTCCTGGAACTATTCAACCGTATTTGGAGTGAAGGCATATACCCTGAGCAATGGCATGAAGCCATCATAGTGGCTATTCCAAAATTGGAAAGGACCCTAAAACCCTAGCAACTACCGACCCATATCACTCACTAGTTGCATTAGTAAACTCCTCGAAAAGATGATTAATAGAAGACTGGTCTGGTTTTTAGAAACGAACGGTCTACTTTCGGATTACCAGATGGGTTTCCGAAAGTTTAGATCCACTTTAGATCAATTGGCTCATATAGACACGGCTATTCAACAATCCTTTGCCGAAAGAAAACATTTGGTATCTGTTTGCTTTGACTTAGAAAAAGCTTATGACACAACATGGAGACGAGGAATACTCAACACCTTACATGAATGGGGTATACGAGGTAATATGCTCAAATTCATTTCCAAGTTCCTAGAAAACCGAACATTCAAAGTCCGGCTCGGCAAACACCTCTCTCAGCCGCATACTCTCGAGAACGGTATACCTCAGGGTTCCACCATCAGCGTAACGCTATTCCTGATAGCTATAAACCGTCTTATAGGTACAATAGATCCAGACATTGGAAAATGTTTATACGTAGACGACCTCACGATCTTCTACTCGGACAAAGATATGTCGAACATCGAGATTAAACTCCAAGCAGCAATAAACAGCCTAGTTACAGAAGCTCAAAGTATTGGTTTCCGCTTCTCAGCATCAAAAACCACCGCCATTCATTTTGTCGGCTACGAACTGCTCACAATCATCCTCACCTGCTACTGAGAAACACCGCAATACAGATCGATGATACTGTTAAGCTTTTGGGGCTAACTTTCGACAGAAAGCTGTATGGAAAGAACACGTCAATAATCTGATGGTGATGAAATGCAAAAAGTCTATGAACATCTTGAAATGCATATCGAACATAAACTGGGGTGCTGACAGGGATACCCTTCTCTCGTTATATCGGTCACTTGTTCTGTCTAAAATCGAGTATGGATTAATCATCTATGGAGCCGCAAGGAAATCTCATCTACGACACTTGGAACAGATACATAACCAATGTCTGCGATTATGTATCGGAGCTTTTCGAACAAGTCCCTCGTCAGCGGTATACTGCGATTCAGGTATTCCTCCTCTTGATATAAGGCTCCAGCAGTTGACTATGAATTATAGTGTAAAGATTTGGTCACACCCACCTCATCCCAACTACAACATCCTATACGACCAAGCAATCAACCAAACCTTCCTGGACAGACCTACCATAACACGACCTTCAGGTGTAAGGATTCAAGAAATTTTGAATAGCATCGACCTCGAACTTCCTGACGTTTATAATCTAAAACATAGCTCAACGCCACCATGGACAATAAACAAACCTGTATTGGACTTGCAGTGTGCACGGTACAAGAAGGATGAAACCAATAGCTCCTTATTTCTTGCATTGTTTAATGACACTGTAAATAGTTACACAAACGTTAAAAATATTTATATATACTGATGGATCAAAGTTAGCTGATAGCGTTGGATGTGCCTATACATCAACGGGACACGAGCAAAATTTAAACTACATCTCATGACCTCGGTTTTCAGAGCCGAGCAACTTGCATTGCTTAAAGCACTGGAATATATAATAACCACAATGAAGCAGGTACTTACCTAATCTGCAGCGATCCTTTAGTGCCATTCAATCTATATCTGCCACAAATTCCTTTGACCCATTGGTTCAAGAAATACTTCATTGGCTTGTCTTACTGGAATCAGATCGGAAATATGTTATCTTTATATGGTCTCCAGGTCATGTAGGGATTCCAGGTAATGAAAGGCTAACGAATTGGCCCGTGAAGCAGCAACCGATACTGTCAACGCCAACAACCTGGTCCACCCGGAAGACCTGAAAAATTTTCTGAAGAATAAGTTGATGTCTGTATGGCAAGAGAGATGGAATGGATGCGAAACTACCCTCAAAAGATACAAACCTACAGTTAAAAATGGCACCTCCCATCACTACCACGAAGAGAAGAGGTGACGCTTACACGATTACGCATAGGCCATTGCAACATAACACACATGCATCTCATTCGCGGCCTGGATCCACCGCAATGCGAAAACTGCCAAACTCAGCTAACAATTGACCACATATTCTTGGAATGCCCAACATATTCTAGAGTCCGCCAATCGTTTGACATTATTAACAGCCTACAACGTGGGCTCTGTGGCAATGACGCCGGTAGCATGATAAACATCCTTAACTTCTTAAGAGAAATACAAGTTTTCCTGAAAATATAAACATGTAAGATGATACACTTATTAAACCCTGAATAAGATATTCCATAAAATAGCTTATACAAATAAACCAATAACTAAAACCATGTGACATATAATGCATAATAAACGTACATGCCAGTTACCTACTATTCTCTACTCGATGAGTACTTAACATATAATTCAGTATCCAAGACACACTGTGTGATACTTGAAAAGTGAGAAAAGAACCCACCTATTAAATATATTGAGACTTTAAATATATTAGATGATTGATATTACCTGTGATAAAATGCACTCAGATCTACCCCTGGGTGACAATGACATGTCCTATATGTGGAGGAGGGATACGGCAAATGACATCATCAGTCGAAGCCGTGGAAAAAAAAAAAAAAAAAAAAAAAAAAAATAAAATAAAAAATAATAAATAATAACAATAATAACAATAATAAACAATAATAACAATAATAACACCCCGCAGGGGTATCTACTTTTGGAGCTGGATCTTTGATCCGGATTCAAAGGACGATACATGGGAGCGTCACCCCCACGGCCCCAGGCAGGGAGTTCGGGTTTGGCAGTCTTATTCATTCTGCCAAACCCTGGGCTTATCCCCCCTCGTTCTCCCATCCTTTCTCCTTTTATTATATCTGTGCAGCTGTCTGTTGCTCTCCCGACTTCTTCTCCTAATCCTTACCCATGCGTTGAGGCGGCGCCGTGGAGCTTCCTCTTAGCCTCCCGGGTGTTTGTGCCGTGCCCGGCGACCCGTAAGCTGGCCAATGGAATCCTGGTGGTTGAGCCCTACCAGTAAGGGGGGCAACACGCCACTTTGGTCCAGCGGTCAGTCTAGAAGGGCGGCCGCGCCTAGCCCAGCGTCGGTCAATCGGCTGTGCCATCCCGTCAGAGGGCTGGTTGGGCGAGCCTCCACAGGTAGTAGAAGCCAGACGGGAATAGTTCGCTATTCTCGATGTATGGTGGAACTACCTGGGGGGACTATACCTTCCTTTCCTTCGGATTAGCGGTATCCCTGGGGTTGTGCCTTAGCGGGATGCTATTATGGGCATAACCTCCCAATGAGGCTCCGTGGAGGGTGGGGAGCCGGGAAGGTGAAATTTTTGGAAAATCTTATGGAACAGCCTAAACAAGATTCAGGTGCACCCACCACCTTAAAAGTGGGCAGTGATCGGGATTCACTCGCACAAACCCAAAACACCCCTAAAACTGGGATTTCAACCGCGTCAGCGGCCAAGATCAGCCAGGGAAAGGAGGGAAACATCCCCCGGTTCCTGGTGGTCGAAAGAATCGATGGGGGCAACTTCGATAAGGTTAGCCCCTTCTTGCTGTCGAAATTGTTATTTGGAATTGTTGGCGAATTGAAGTCAATTAAGAAAATTAAGACCGGATTATTAGTGGAAACTGTTACCGCTCATCAAGCGTCTAGACTCCTTAAAGTGACTAAAATAGGCGAGTTCATTGTTGAAATAAAACCACATAGTACACTCAATTACTCAAAGGGTATAATCACATGTGCAGATTTTCTTAACAGTTCTACCGAAGAAATATTGGAGGGTTTAGAACCAGAAGGTGTGGTCGAAGTTAAACGTTTGATGCGTAAACAAGGTGACTCACTTGTCGAAACGCCAAACTTATTGTTGACTTTCGACAAACCTAAACTACCCTCAAAAGTTAAAGCTGCCTTTTACTCTCTCGAAGTGCGTCCTTATTTCCCAAACCCCCTAAGATGTTTTAAATGCCAGAGGTTTGGGCATACTTCGCAAAGATGCTCAAATTCTGAGATATGTATATGCGGACGACCCAAACAGATACAACACCTTGCGACACACCTATGCATTGCATTAATTGTGAAGGTCAACACGCAGCCAATTCAAGAGCTTGTCCTAAGATGAAGGAGGAAATAGCGATTCAAAAAGTTAGGACTATGGAAAAACTGAGCTATCTAGAAGCAAAGAAAAAAGTAATCAGGCCCATTCCTCAAAAATCCTACTCCGAAATTGCGGCGACCACAAGTACGTCAATTAATAATATAATAAAAGAGTTATTACCGCAATTAACTAAGTCTATTGAGAGTAAAATAAAGAAACCCTGGATAACATAATCAGTACCAAGAAGCATAATTTTAATACTAATTCCTTCTTACCTCCCGGTCAATATTTTTCTGATACATCTACGCAACCTTCTGTAGCCGAAAAAAGGAAGCGTACCAGAACCCGAACAAGGGACGATGATACCGATGAAAGTGTATCATCACATATCAGTGAAGCATCAACTTCTACTAAAAGAAAAGAGGCTGGCCGAAAGGGAAACCCAGGCGGCCTCCCAACTCCGCAAGAAGTGATCAAGAAACTGAAGCCAGTCAAACTACTGACCTTACCATTGAGATATAGCTACCTGTGATATTTTCTACATAAATTTTATTATACAGGGTGGTCCATAAGTCCTTTGAAATTCCAAATTTGAATAAAATTTTACGGGTGAGCGTGAGCGGCGCGGGCGAGGTGGGGGCAGTATCTTCAGTGTCTGGGAATTCAGTCGCCATGGAGTGTTTCACTGGAGCTGATCGTGCTTTTTGTGTGCGCGCGTTTTATCAAAATAATGATTCGGCAACCATTGCGCGGCGTAAATATCGAGAATACCACAATTTACACAATTTTACAAAGTGTCAAACGATTAAGAACTGGGTTGCTAAGTTCGAAGAGACTGGTTCGACGTCAGATAAACAGCGGTGGGGTCGACCAAGGATAACTCGTATTGAAGAAAACATCAACATTGTGGCACAGTCTTTTCGTCAAAATCCTACCCAGTCTACTCGTAAGCGTTCCAGTGCACTAAACGTACCCAGAACATCTTTACAGCGGATTTTAAGGAAAGATTTACGTCTGCACGCTTACAAAATTCAGTTAGTGCAGGAATTAAAAGATAATGACGCTATTCAGAGACTAAACTTTGCGAATCAAATGTTGAATCGATTTTCTTCGCTCAATAATGTGTTGTTCTCGGACGAGGCTCACTTCCATTTAAACGGGCATGTAAATAAACAAAATTGCCGTTATTGGAGCTCCGAAAATCCAAGGCGTAAGCATCAGAAGCCCTTAAACAGCCCTAAAGTTACAGTTTGGGCTGCTATGTCAGCGCATGGCATGCGTAGGCCCTTATTCTTTTGAGGACGACAGAGGTCGCGCATTAACTGTTACTTCGGAGCGGTATGTAGCAATCATAGAAGAGTTTTTGACACCAGCGTTGCAGAATTTTCCAGGCTATAATACGCAGACCTGGTTTCAACAGGACGGAGCAACTGCCCACACCTCCAACACTTCTATGCCCGTCGTCTGTCAACTTTTTCCCAGCAAAGTAATTTCTCGAAGAGGAGACATTTCCTGGCCACCACGTAGTCCAGATTTGACCCCAATGGACTTCTTTTTATGGGGCTACCTCAAGAGTAAAGTGTACGACACCACTCCGCGATCAGTTGATGTCCTGAAAGAAAATATCCGAAGAGAAATGGCCAGCATTACAGTGTTGACTTGCCGCGCAGTCATCGACAATTTTAGACGTCGTTTATATGAGTGCCGTGATCGTAATGGATTGCATTCAGACGATGTGATTTTTAAAACATAATTCCCATTCAATAAAGATGACAACAAAATATAATAATTCTTCATAATGTAACTAGTTTGGTTTTATTCCTTTTTTTCCAGCTCAAAGGACTTATGGGCCACCCTGTATATTTACGTATGTGTATGTATGTATGTTTGTATATGTGAGTACATCTGATCTTATTTATACATATACTATATTTTTTTTATAGACTATTTATATATTTTACTAATTTAGCTATTTACGTATATTTATTTATTCATTTATTTATTAGCTTATTTATTTATCTATTCCACGAGTATATATATATATATGCCCCTTTTGAGCTCCATAACAAACTAACGAACTGTTTCTTTTGACAAACTAGTCATAATGTCTTCACTAATACAATGGAACATGAACGGATGCTGTGCACACTACCCTGAACTAAAATTGATATTCTCGGAAGTGGCACCCTTTTGCATATGTATCCAGGAAACTCATTTTTCTCCTGAAACCAACATCAACCTGCGGGGCTTCAACTGTTTCAGGAAAGACGTAATCCCGACAAACCGATCTAAAGGAGGCGTGGCAATCAATTTTCATAAAAAGTGAATTACAGGCAACTGAGGTACACATTCAAACTCCACTACAGGCGGAAGCAGCACAATCGCTATTTCCATTTAAAATAACAATATGTAATATATACTTACCAGATTTCAATTGGAATGAAGAGCAGATTAATCACATAATTACTCAACTGCCTACTCCATATATCATAGTGGGCGACTTTAGTGCACACAATCCTCTATGGGGATCACAACAACTTGATGTTCGAGGTCGTATAATCGAAAGAATCTGCGAAGAATCAGGGTTGATTATTTTAAATACAGGAGATGGAACTTACCTCAACTCCAGGTCTAACTGCTTCAGTAGTATCGATCTGTCCATCTGCTCACCAAGTCTGGCATCGTCCTTGGAATGGAAAACTATGCCTGAACATCTGTACTCCGACCATGTGCCAATAAATATCACTTTTGCTTCAAAATGTCCAGAAAGAACATTCCATACAACCTGGAACATCAAGAAAGCCAACTGGGATACTTACAAAAATAATATTGGTGAACTCCTTTTAAAGGATAACATACACGACTCGGTGCAGTCTATAACATCTGCCATAGTTAGTGCAGCGAACGTCAGTATTACCAAAAAAAGTGGTAACATCAAAAATGTGCAAGTGCCATGGTGGAACGATAAGATTGGAAAAGCAGTCAAAGAAAAAAATAAGGCCTTAAGAGAATTCAAACGCAACTTCTCTACTGAAAACTTAATTGAATTCAAGAAAAGACGAGCGGAAGCTCGTCGCATAATTTTAAAAAGTAAAAAATCATCATGGCAAGAATACGTGTCACATATATCTAAAGAAACGCCACCATCGGAAGTCTGGCACAAAATCAGAAGTATTCAAGGAAAGCATTTCCAAGCTCCATCCCCTATACTGCTAGTCAACAATATACAAATTACAAACTATGAAGACATTTGTAATATATTAGCTACACAATTCCAAGAGACAAGCAGTTCGGATAGCTATAATCTTGCCTTCATAGCTAAAAATACTAAGGCTGAAAAAAATATATTGGAAATAGTTGATGACTCCTTATTGGTATACAACGTACCTTTTACATTGCTAGAACTGCAAAACGCTCTTAACGAGGTTAATTCTTCATCAACGGGTTCAGACAACATCCACTACGACATGCTTAAGCATCTTCCTGAAAGCGAACAGCTTACACTCTTGGAACTATTCAACCGTATTTGGAGTGAAGGCATATACCCTGAGCAATGGCATGAAGCCATCATAGTGGCTATTCCAAAAATTGGAAAGGACTCTAAAAACCCTACCGACCCATATCACTCACTAGTTGCATTAGTGAACTCCTCGAAAAGATGATTAATAGAAGACTGGTCTGGTTTTTAGAAACGAACGGTCTACTTTCGGGTTACCAGATGGGTTTCCGAAAGTTTAGATCCACTTTAGATCAATTGGCCTATATAGACACGGCTATTCAACAATCCTTTGCCGAAAGAAAACATTTGGTATCTGTTTGCTTTGACTTAGAAAAAGCTTATGACACAACATGGAGACGAGGAATACTCAACACCTTACATGAATGGGGTATACGAGGTAATATGCTCAAATTCATTTCCAAGTTCCTAGAAAACCGAACATTCAAAGTCCGGCTCGGCAAACACCTCTCTGAGCCGCATACTCTCGAGAACGGTATACCTCAGGGTTCCACCATCAGCGTAACGCTATTCCTGATAGCTATAAACCGTCTTATAGGTACAATAGATCCAGACATTGGAAAATGTTTATACGTAGACGACCTCACGATCTTCTACTCGGACAAAGATATGTCGAACATCGAGATTAAACTCCAAGCAGCAATAAACAGCCTAGTTACAGAAGCTCAAAGTATTGGTTTCCGCTTCTCAGCATCAAAAACAACCGCCATTCATTTTTGTCGGCTACGAACTGCTCACAATCATCCTCACCTGCTATTGAGAAACACCGCAATACAGATCGATGATACTGTTAAGCTTTTGGGGCTAACTTTCGACAGAAAGCTGTATTGGAAAGAACACGTCAATAATCTGATGGTGAAATGCAAGAAGTCTATGAACATTTTGAAATGCATATCGAACATAAACTGGGGTGCGGACAGGGATACCCTTCTCTCGTTATATCGGTCACTTGTTCTGTCTAAAATCGAGTATGGATTAATCATCTATGGAGCCGCAAGGAAATCTCATCTACGACACTTGGAACAGATACATAACCAATGTCTGCGATTATGTATCGGAGCTTTTCGAACAAGTCCCTCGTCAGCGGTATACTGCGATTCAGGTATTCCTCCTCTTGATATAAGGCTCCAGCAGTTGACTATGAATTATAGTGTAAAGATTTGGTCACACCCACCTCATCCCAACTACAACATCCTATACGACCAAGCAATCAACCAAACCTTCCTGGACAGACCTACCATAACTCGACCTTCAGGTGTAAGGATTCAAGAAATTTTGAATAGCATCGACCTCGAACTTCCTGACGTTTATAATCTAAAACATAGCTCAACGCCACCATGGACAATAAATAAACCTGTGTTGGACTTACAGTGTGCACGGTACAAGAGGGATGAAACCAATAGCTCCTTATTTCTTGCATTGTTTAATGACACTGTAAATAGTTACACAAACGTTAAAAATATTATCTATACTGATGGATCAAAGTTAGCTGATAGCGTTGGATGTGCCTATACATCAACGGGACACGAGCAAAAATTTAAACTACATCCCATGACCTCGGTTTTCAGAGCCGAGCAACTTGGATTGCTTAAAGCACTGGAATATATAAATAACCACAATGAAGCAG